ACCGGTCTCCACATCTCCTGCGCCAAAACATTCATCGAACTGCGCCAGACTGTTTTGTGCCCACAGTAATGATGCCACAACGTTTTATGACCAATTGCATGCCGCAGTTTATGATTGGCTGATTCTCAAAAGGCTACATTGTGATTCGCTGAAATACAGCATTGACTTTTACATCAGCTTGCGTTGAATGAGTACAATGTGATTCATGAATTTTTACTCTGCATACACTCCCTATGCAGATCTTATGACAACGAATATTGCAGCTTTATGGAATCGTGGACGTCTTTTACACCCAATTAGGTTATTTTGTTACTACTGTCAAAAATAGTAAAACATTATATGAAGCTTTATTGCTTGACTATATTCCAGAAGATGGACCCTAAACAGACTAGACATTCAAACTAACTAAAGTTGCTCATGCGATATACAGAACGAAAGTTGTTTTAGTGCCACCTTACAGCTGATGGGTTAAAATTCTACCGCGCGTAAAATTTCTCTTATTGTCTGCAAATTCTCTAAAGCGAGAAGTTCGTTTTAAGGTGCCACGGTGCAGGCAGCCGAAAAGAAAGAATGTAGAACTCAAAACGGTTGGAATCATTCTTATGCTTTCCTGATTTTGGGCCAGATGCAGCGATCTTCGTTCCACGAAGCTTATGGCATAGTGATGATTAACATTTCCATACCACCAGGGAAGCCTTATGCAGCGGTAGAATCCACAGCTCTGTGGCAAACACCTCATGGGGTCTCCTACTTTCTTCCCACGGAGTGGTACCCATTTATTAACCTCAAAAGGAAGAAGGGCCAATGGTTCAGCCGGGCTCAAACCTGTAACCTCTCGATTCTGAGTTTAGTACTCACCAACTGAACAAACTCGATCTAAAAGTGCAAATCGTTGAGTTCACTTGCACATGACGTAAAAATGGTTGTGTTTTGATGTGGTCATAACCGACGGTATGAGACATGTGTTCATGCTTTCTGACGGCTGCAATTCTCCTAGACCAGCTTGAAAGTGGACTGAAAATAAGCACCAGGGTTGAACTGTCAGTGGAATAAATATTGTGCTTTAAATTAAAAGCAATGGGAGCAACAGACTGACGTATGCACAAAAAGCCTTTTAATGAAAAATTTTGTGAATATAACACAATAGGAAAAAGAAACAACATCTGTTATTCTCATTTCATTTGAGGGTTATGCCTAATGCTCAGTGCGCCTCCTGTCATGGATTCAAGTCAGTCGAATTTCAGACATGACGCGGACTTACGAATTCCATTTCGATTCACAAGCTAACGAGGAAGCAAGAAATGTATGAAATGCACAATAGAAGTTACAGAGTAAGTCGAACAGACATCGTTCGCTGTTTGGGATGAGTCCAAGTCACAAATATAAAGCACGTGGAACTGTAATTTATGAAGTTTGGAAAATTGCTCTGTCATCAACTTATTATTAAAGTAAAATCGATCATGGCATTCAAAGATGTTTTATTGCACCAATATTGTCAGGTGCAATATTTCAACTAGCCAATGTGAATTTGGTTAGCTGTTTGACGTTCGCCGATGCTTCGTTATGCTTAATATCGAGTAGTTGAAATATTTTAGTACTTTGTAACATCAGTCAAGTTAAACAACATTGAATACCATGATAAATTTCATCTTATCACCAACTGACTGTTAGAATATTCTTGACGTATGTAGCGACAGGTCAGCATAGTCATTATCATTAAAATGTTAACACTCAGAGAGGTAGTTTTCAGTAATCAGCCTCAATATAACACTGTCAGGTTATACTGTATCTAACACAACGGCCACGCTCTTCTTTAGAAACAAAACGTACATTTAATGAGTAGAATCATGCAGACGGCGCATAAATTCACGAATCACCATACACTAGCCTGCCATTACAGAAATGTCATCAGCTCAGCTTTTTTCCAAGACAGGTAGCCGGTGTGGCTTAGGCTCAGATATGTGGGTTAGATGAGAAATCAGCAGGGAATCTGACGAATAAGCAGTCTTGAACATCGTGATGACCATGATGAGGAATTGAGCAATTCAATTGCTATTAAGGTTGGTTCAAACAATAACTCATATTTGACGACGGTTCTGCACGTTGGAGTCATGCTGTAATGTAATAGGCATTAGTTCAAATCTGCAGATCAAGCTTGATCCCATCCTCTTCGAGAAATGAGTTAAAAATAATCGCAATCTTTCGTTGCTGTTGTAAGCCATTCAATGAATCAGAGATCTTGGACGCCCATAGGCTAGAAACTATGGTAACTATCCCTGAAAGTTGGTGAAAGGTACTGTATTTATTTTCTTGCTAACCTTCACAGTTCGTTTTACAATTCCAATGTATTGACAACATTGGTCAGATATGTCGTTGTTCATAGCATTGGATATAGTTTGCCTCCGTTGCTGTATGTGAATCACCATTAACTGCTAATTAATTTGGGAAATTCAAGCTCTAAATTCTGCTGCAAAACAGATAACTTACACGATCTTGCTCAAGCACTAAATGTTGAACGTTAACACTGCGAAGTATTTGCAATGCAGAAGCCGCATCCCTCTAAAACAGGATTTCACTGAACGTTACTTCCCACCTTTGCTCCTAGTAGCCTATGGGATAATTCGAGCAGATCACCACTTCGTGAACGTGAGCACTCTCAGAGTTTCCTCTTAGGTAAGGTGTCACCTTGGCCACAAGAGTGACGAACGGCTACAAAAGTAGCAGTTGCCATTATCAATCACCACAAAGGAGAAATGTCATGTGCGACCAATGCAAGAAATAAATATGGAAACCAAAAGATCCTCACCGCTACTGTAGCATGTCAACCACTAGAGAAAGTGGAATGAGGTTGACAGCCAATGCAAGCGTTGAAAAGAGTTACTATTTATGCTTTCTTATGAAAATTCATAGAATAAACAATGTTCTCTGACCTAATTATTCAAGAAATATAGATCACTTCAGTGTAATCCAAATTATTTGTCTGCATAAATTCATGTGGTATTGCTGAGTTCTCCTTAGCCATACTAATGATGCGCTGTATTGCTTACGTTTGAAAGATGAACACTCATTCATGCTCATATGCAAATTGGTCATATTCAGTATAGGCGAGTTAGATCTGCCAGTTTGATATATTGCTTTGTCACAAGAATTTTTACTTTCGATTCACAACATTGACGGTATGACGTGAAACTTGCTCGAACTTTATAGTGGATTGATAAGGACAGTGTCGAGAACGTCTTCTGTTTGAAATTGTGCCCGGACGATCTGTCCCTCAATCCTCCGGAATGGTCTTAACCTACATGAGCAGCACTGCCAGCCTATTGTCAGAGCTACCTCAAACAGTCGCTCCACTGTACATGGTGACTGGTCGAGGCTCCCTAGTGACTCATATCCTGGTACTTCCTCCTATCGCTTGTACTCTGTGATTTAATGCCTGACTTATCCATCCAAAATCCATTATGTTGAAGTTGCAAGCATGAGCTATGCGAAATATCCCCAGGGTCATTGTTTTTTAAAACTCGTCTTGACTCAAAGCTAATTGTTGATAAACGGTAAATGGGCGTTTATTTTCTTATTCGCCTGAGGCAAATGGGGGCTACAAAATCCACTCGGCCCATTTTCACCAGATTATTCATTCCTCCTTTTTGCCTGTGCCCCTTATCTGATTTCCTGAACTTCCTAGGAGCAATCGTCGCATTGCACGCAGTGCCTCGAAGACCAGTACCTCGTAAACGCTGCGTTGTCTTTGAATTCTTGTCAGTTAGCTTGTACAATGCGTCCTAAGTTTACTTTTGATTGGACGTCAGGAAGGACCCATCGCCTGCTGGTAGATAATGCAAATAGGTACTTAATTTGCCTACCCCAGCTGCGTTTTGTCATGTCTGCTGTTGCGCATATTCAATTAACAAAAAGCACGCATTCATTCATTCTTAGCCGTTGTCCACCCTATGCCAAGACACTCCTGAAACTGAATTATGGAAAAGACCTCATCATATACGATTCATATTTATTTCATAAATCTGCACTCACTACATTACTACACTACATTACTACATTCAGAACACTTTAAATTAATTCCGTGTAATGCCTAATAAAACAAAATGGTAAAGTTTTGTTTCAAACAGAAACCAACGACATAATTTTTCAATTTTCAAGGTTAAAGCAAATTCAAGCGGCAAACACGAGTTAATCGTGTATCTCCCGTTTAAGCGTTTCTACCTGAAAGAAGTTACGTTTACTGTAAATGGCTGAGGTCAGCTAAGGCAAATTTACCTGCTGTTTCAGTTCCTGTTCTTTGATCATTTGATTTCCAATTTCCACCTGTAGTCGCGCCTGAAAATCAACATATCAGCAACAAATCGATCGCTTATTCAGTCTACCCTTTACCTTCAAAATGGGATTTTCCAAAGCAGCCACTTGACTCTGGTACGTTTCTACTTCGGTTTCACATTTGAATAACTCTGCTTGTAGATGTCGAAATTTCGTCCAGATGGCACTACGCGCTGGTTTTGCAATATCAACTCGGTTTCAGCATCGACCCTTCAGGCTAAAGATACCCATCAGCTTACCTAAGTCAGCGCCAGTGACGTTTTCCTCAGCTAACTCCATCTGCTGATGTGCAGCAAGTCTGTCTGTGGTAACCTCTTTGTTTTTATTTCCACTGATATAACTCACGGCACCGCCAAAAATCTCTTTTTCTCCTTCAGCACATGCAGAATAATGCAGGAAAATGTTAAAAGCGACAATGAGGAAAAAAACTAACTCAACAACGCTGTTTACCTGAGGTTTCGAAATCATCAAAGGTAAGCTCCGAGTCACTCGTACATTCGCTGTCTGGCATTTGCTCTTGTTTACTGTTTGACTCTTGTTCGTTTTCTCCGTGAGCTGGTACCACCTCCCACCTTAAAAACATAGGACATCACATCACAAGGGTATGCTTGTAAATAGTGCTTCTAGCAGAATCAAACGAACATTTTAAATTATTCATGAGATTGAAAGTCTAATTCAATAACAGGGAGATGGAACAAATGAATCATATTCTATTCAACATATATAAACGTATCACGTAGAAATATCGATTCAGAGCGTACCTGTAGAAATGACAACTGCTGTAATCAGAATAATGCCCATCACGACCGCAAATATTCCAAGCTAACAGAAAATAAATTCCAACACAATGTTACACTGAAGATAAACAGGTAATACTGAGTAAGTGTCTAGAACATGTGAAAAGTTTTGAAGATATGCCTATTGTGATGATCGCCCTGAGCCGTTACATGAAAAATACCTGTCTAGTTTATAATGCCCCCCGCATTCGCAGCTTTTCGACCCTTTAACTATAAGGCACCGATTACTGCATTGCACAAACGATGTTCCTCTCCAAGCAGATCTGTCTATGATTTGTTCCGCAATATCGATGTCTGCCGTGTTTCAGCTACCACGCATATACTCTTGGCCTGGAGTGGCTGGTTTATGCTCCTTCAGTTTGCCTAACAGGGCCAACCTCCATT